ACTGCTCTTGGCTATATGGGCTTTCTGGCTGTCATCTGTTTCTTGGTGGCTTTTCTGGCCCGGAAGCTGCCAGGGCCTTTCAATGAAGCCAAGTTGATCACTTTCAGTATGTTGGTTTTCTGCAGTGTTTGGGTCTCCTTTGTCCCCACTTACCTGAGCACCAAAGGGAAATACATGGTGGCTGTGCAGATCTTCTCCATCTTGACCTCCAGCCTGGGCTTACTTGGCTGCATCTTAGTCCCCAAATGTTACATCATCATTCTGAGACCTGACTTGAACATGAAGGGACATCTCATGATGAAAAACAACAAAAACTTTTGATTTTGGAAGCTATTTTTTATCCAAATTATTGCTAAGATAAAATAAGACTTTGCAAACCTTTTGTTATTTGTTCTGAAAATGCTTTCTTTCTCCCATGTGATTAATGTTACTATCAATAGATATCCTAAGGAAGGTTATTGATGTTTCTTCCACCAATTTAAAACTATGTTATTTGTCTTCTAAACTACACTTCTTCAATATTCATTGAGCATACAAGTTGAATAAATATGAAGGGAGTATACAGTCTTGTTTCACTTCTTTACTGATTTGAAATAACTCTGTTTAATTCTGTTTTTGTCAGACTCTAGCTTCAAGACACTACCAATGAAGCAATTGTTCTCCCATTCCATATCTCCTTTAGTCCTATAACTACATTTCCCTCCCTTGCTCTTTCCTGTTTTGTCATTCCAGTCTCCAATAACAATCTTGCTTATGTATTCAATTTCAAACTGAACTTGATACTAAAACTCTTCTGAATTTATGTTTGGGACATAAGTTTGGAGAATCATCACTCATCACAATCCTCATCACAAATAGCATTGAGCTGAGGGATAGTACAGAGATGAAGTAGCTAGTTTGGATAGGGGGAAGAGAGATCTGGCTCAGGAACACATAGAAAACATGAGGTTTAGATTTGGTAGTGGAAAAACTGGGCTTCTGGGCTGCCTGAGGGAATTAGAACTGGGAAGCACATATCTTCTGTGATTCTTCTTCTTCCAAAACTAATTTCAGTTGGTGTGCAGAGAGGAATGTTTAGTCTTAGGCCTCTGCTTTAAGCAGTTCTGAAGGCTTCACTCTCTTCCCACTCCTATTTAACATCCTAGATGTCATAATAATAACTGTAGTGAGGAATATTGATTTTCTCTTGGAGATAATGATTCTAGTGCAGCTGGTCTGAATATAAGGAAGGGGATTTATCCAGAGGTAGGCTCCTACTGGTTTGGAATGGTTCATACGGTGGTATGCCGGCCTAGGTCGCAGAACCGGCAGCAACCCAGCCTGGCCATGACCCCAAACGAATTCCCCGGTTGCCATCTATTTTTGTTCTGGCATGCACAGAACAATTTCCATTGAACTATGCATGCATGTGCCGTGTGTATCCAGTATGCATGTGTGCATTCAGCATGCATTCATGCAAAGTGCACATACAAGCAAACCGGGAGTAATGCCAGCTAGAACCAACCCCTGGATTTATCCATATTAGTGTGGAGAAAAGTGTGTGTGGGGGTTATGTTCCCTTTTTAAAAAACTGCTCAATTCAGAAATTCTAATAGAAAATGGCACTGGAGTGGATGAAGAGATTGAGCTATTCTGCAATGTGAGTGTCCTCCTATTCTCATGGCTCCTGCTCAAGGAACACCTGGCAGTCATGGCTAAGTAGCATGTGCACAGATTCATCTACTGCAGGGGTGTCAAACTCAATTTCATTAAGGGCTGCATCAGGGTTGTGTTTGACCTCAAGCAGCCAGGGTGGGCATGGCCAGCCTGACATCACTCTTCCCCGGGGTGCCTGTGGCAGCCCAAGTGCTCTGTCAATGAAAGCAGGCTCCCGACCTCTGTTTTTGGCTATGACGGCCTCCTGCAACCCTTTGCCAGTGAAAGCTGGCCTCTGCCAGTTTTTGCTGATAGAATAACCATGGGATGATCCTTCACTGTTTCCAGGTTGGCCCTGCGGGTCAGATCTAAACACTCTGCAGGCTGGATCTGGTACCCAGGCCTTGAGTTTGACACCCCTCATATAGTGCATCAATTGTGCCCCTTCCTAGACCAAAATGCCTTGATCATGGTCATCCATGCCTTTTTCACCTCCTATTTGGACTACTCCAATGTGCTCTATGTGTAAGGTGACCAGATTTTCAGATTGGTAAAGAGGGACACCATTGACCGGAGGGGGGGCTTGATTAAAAATTTTATATTTTGTCAAAAGGTCACCCCAGGACACTGAAACCATCATAAATACGAATCT